GATTTACATCATATAGATAGAATAGGTACAATTCTCGAACTAACTCTCTAACTACCCGTGAACCGTGGATGGTATAGATTACTCTGTTCTATGGGGCTAACGGGGCTGTTCTGATAGAATCCTTGGCCCCGCTGAGTATGGTCTGGTAGGGGTGCCAGTTTTAACAAATATGGTGCCATTAGTTCATCTTAGTTATCAGCTTCCAAAGTACTTTTCATACTATTTTAATAGTTCTATGATTTGATTAACTTCCGTAAGAGTTCTTTTGACTTTCCAATTTATCTTCCTAACAGCATCATCTCCATGTCTGCAGTATCAATGACCCAGTTGCTCTCAAACTACTCAACAAAGCAGGTGAGATGCCAACCCTAGCCCCTCCGGATGACGAAAGCATAAAAACACTTTATGTCGGCGGCCTCGATGCAAGAATCTCGGAGCAAGACCTCAGGGACCACTTCTACGCTCAGGGAGAGATTGAGTCCATCCGTATGGTCCTCCAGCGTGCCTGCGCCTTTGTCACCTACACCACCCGTGAAGCTGCCGAAAAAGCTGCTGAAGAGCTGTCCAACAAGCTCGTAATAAAAGGCCTCCGCCTCAAACTGATGTGGGGAAAACCTCAAGCCCCAAAACCTGAGGAGGAGACATCAACAGACCAGGGGCTTGTGGCTCATGCAGGATTGCTACCTAGAGCTGTGATTTCCCAGCAGCAGGTCAGCGATCAGCAGCAGTCTCAGGCTCAGCCTCAGCCTCAGCCTCCAGGGACTCAGTATTATTTCAACATCCCGCCACCAGAGAGAACGTTTTACCCGTCGATGGACCCACAAAGAATGGGGGCTTTGGTTCCCAATTCGCAGGAGGGCAGCAGCGGCAGCGGCAGCAGCACAGAGAGGCAGTCCTCGAATCCTGGAGCACCTCCGCCATATCTACAGGGACAATATCCGCCTTATTATCCGCCACATTATGGTTATGGCCAGCTCCACCTGCTTATAATCAGCAGCATCGACCGCCTTATCAGCAGGCAATGGCTCCTCCACAGCCACCGCAGCAGCAGTATCAAGGTCCAAGCGCTTCAGCTGCGCCAAGTTCGTCAGGTCCTTCCTCTTAATATAGTATGTATTGTGCTTGTACTTGATTGATACAAGGCGTGTTGGAGTAGTAATTGGATGTTTCGGATGTTTTAAATTTTGAATTATCATGCATTGTTCTAAGTACTTGTTTTCGCAATCAAAGATATGGTTATACATTTACTGTGTCATGAAAATTGGCATCAATGTTTAGCATTCATATGAAGAATTGGAAGGCATGTAGTAACACTTGTTCATGGTTTGCTCGCCAGTTTATGCGAAATTATGTGATATTTGTGCTGCAGCACCCTTTCCCTATGTATGATAATATTAGGTTAACAGTTGATTTATGGAGATGAGCAGAAAGACAAATTTATTCCTTACGTTAAAAGGGCAATTCCTTTGTGATTTATTTCCATCAAAACAAAGTAGGAGCTCAGTTGGGTAAATCTTACACTACGGAATGATGACTCGCTCTATTTATTTAATTGTCCCATGCTTAAGAATGAAAATCGCTAGTGCAAAAGTCTTACAAGAACTCGGGAAGATTTGAGAAGTCGTCAACATTTCTCTCGTCAATCCTAGCAAGTGAATCCAATTGCCGGGAACGGGTCTGGGTCTGAGTCTGAATAGCAAGTGAATCCAACTGCTGAGTCTGGATTCGACTCTTGAGTCTGGAGAACAAGTGAATCCAACTGCTGAGTTTGGGTCTGGATCTTAGGTGGATGGCCAGAGGTAACCTGATACCGATGCTGAGTCTGAATAGCAAGTGAATCCAACTGCTGAGTCTGGATCTGAGTCTGAGTTTGAAGAGCAAGCGAATCCAACTGCTGAGTCTGGGTCTGAATCTCAGGTGGATGGTCAGAGTTAACCTGATATTGATGCTGAGCAGCGTGCATGGCAATCTGAGCTCGAGTCAGAGCAAGCTCGTGTTGGTGCATGTAGATATCCTCATGCAGCCTCGCTATGATCCCTACACTCCCATAAACAGGGTCATTCACTCGCCAGTATGCCTCCGATGAGATTGCATCCGCTGCTTGAGCTCGCAGATGAGCAGGGAGTTGCTACACAAGTGAATACAAATTCATGCACCAAAGCTTTGGTATATAAAAACGAATACAAATTTAACCAGAATATCCCCCTATAAGAGTGAATTGTTGTGAACCATACAGAGGACAATTAAACTTCCTAAGTTGTCCCCCAGAATGACATCAAACATTATATTTCTATGAAGGAGTTCTAATAGAATTTGTACTTTTTAAAGACTATATACATTGTAATATGTGTTAGTTAAGTAATGATTATTATATATTTATATAACCATGGTCGGTTTTTTTAATTTTAAGTATCCTCCATATTCTAATATGCTTGTATTGTACTTTGTCTCCCCTTTATTTTGGAGTGAAGAGGACCTCTTTTTTTACTTAAATGACTCTCTTGAGTAAATTTTATTCAAAAAGATTAGGCGATGCTTTAGCATTATAAAAGTTAGAATGAGATGGGTCCGCTCCAAAGTTTCACTACCTTAGTGTTACTTCGCGTCTCTTATATTAATTTGCCTTCAATACAAGTTAGCTTATAACACCAAAATAAGATGTAACAATAATAATAACAGTAAATTTTTCTCAAAAAAATAATAATAGTAATAATAGTAATATACCTGAAGCATTCTAGTGACATTGCTAGCCCCAAAAATCCTATGAACACAAGCAAATCTCTGAGGATTTGATGGAGGGAAGTAAGGAGATAAAACACAATCTTGAGAGCATCTTCTCCGTAGATATTTGCATGCAGCACATCTCCTAAGATTGGATTCTTTAGAGATATTGTAACTCGAGTTGGAAGCAGACATTCTCTTTAATTTAACGGCAGGTAGATTTTTAGAGATTTAAGAGAGATTTCGTACTGTAAGAAGATTTTCGTTCAAGTGTCTATTAGTAGGTGTTGAGAGGGAAGGAGCATAGATGGAAATTTCAACGGCTAGTATTTTTTTTTTTTTTTTGAAGGGTTTGTGTTTGTGACTCGCCAGTGGACAATGAGAAATGGAAGTTTTGAAATTTGCTAATTTAGATCTTTTATATGAATTATGAATGCATAAAAACAACAAGACTTTGCTAACTTAGAAGCTCATCAACAAAAAAGGAAATTTTTATTTATTAAAGAGTAATTATTTTTGGACCCGAATTTTGGGTTGTCTACGTTCCTAGCTGGCAACCAAAGGAAGAAATGAGGATTTGACTATTGAGGGGTGGGCTCGGCAGCAAAATAGAAAAACAGAGAGAAGGGAGTAATTTAGAAAGAAAATAAAGCCCATTAACAGTGAGGCCACTAGCTCTCCAACGAAAATTGGGCCGAGTAACAACAAGGCCGGAGTTGTTCCCAAATAAAGGCTTTCTATCTACCTTGGCCGAGTAACAACATCTTGGTTCTCGGAATAAATCTCCTCCAACCTAACTTCTTCTTTCCATCTTGCTTTTGTTTTCTCTCTTTTGGATACTACATCAGCAGATAATCGGAGATGTGTATTTATATGATATCCGATTCCTATCTATAGGGCCAAAATTATAAAATTATGGGAAAGATTAATCTAGATATTATTATCTTATAATCCTGTAATTTATGTGTTGAATAAAGCTATGCTTTTAGAAAGTATAAATCAAGCGTTTTAAAAGTAAAAAAGTACTTTATAGTGGGTAAGGCTTTAATCTTCCAAAAAAAAAAAAATTCATTCTCTCAATCACCTCAACCTATTCAAATAAACCTCCCTCTTGATCCAATCACATGGCTGGCTCGCTCCCAACAGCACCAAAAAAGTTTTTTTTTAAGTGCTCCACATGCCACACTAAAATATATCGGATCACGCTCCTTTAAGTGGATAGAGATCCGATGCCCATTTAACAAATATCCCATTTCTCTCTCTCTCTCTCTCTACCGCAAAGCGACACAAAAAATAAAAGTCCCATGGCAACAATTTGTTAACAGCATCAACTGTAGCACGCTTGTGTTAACAAAATGGACTCGGTACAAGAAAAATAAATAAATAAATAAGCTACCGCATTATAAAAAAGTTGAAGTGCTCACCTCAGCCAGATGTTACCAATTGAGCTGTCAAAGCTTTTCAACTCAAAATGCTCCTTAGATTACAAATAAAATTAGACCTACTTGATTTGGTTTAGATTTGATTTGGTTGCTTATTGAGGATTTAAAAAAACAAAGCGCAGAGATGCGTCGAGATCCCACCACTAGCTACTGTAAATTAGTCACTCACCCACCGTTTTGCTTTGACTAACTAAGGTTGAATAAATTAGCCAAAAAAAAGTTAGGGTTGAAGATGCAATTATTCATTGCCTTTGATAATGGTTACATAGCCCTTAAATACCTTGTTGTTTCACTTCTTTATCACTTATATATTCTTAGTTGTATTTCATAGCATTTATATATCCCGAGTTGTTCAAACTTGGCACGTTAATACTTATACAAATGTAAAACTTTTCATCGGGAAGTTCCCACATAACCTTCAGATGTTAATTTTAGAGCTTTTTAAATCATCCATGTTTGTTAAATTGCTATTAAACCTACCTAAGTTCTAATTTAAATTTATCCTAATTCTATTTAGAAATAGAATTTGAAAAAAAAATAACAATGACTTAAACAAACTTAATTGACAAAAAGTTATAAAATTAGTATGTGAATATTATATGGGAACTTTTGGATAAAATTTTCATATTTGCAAAATAGAGGGTATTAACCTACTAATTTTGAACTGCTCTGAATATATAAATGCTATAAAATATAACTGAGGATATATATAGGTAGTACGAGAGTGAAACTATAAGGTATTTTAAGTGCCGTGTAGACTTTGATATATATCCCCCCACCCCACCACATGGGTGCGTTTGTGCGTTTGTTTTCCTATCATGGGTGCGTTTGTTTTCCTATCAACTATCTGGATGAAGTCAAATATGTCATAAATACACACATTATTATAAGAAAAGCATTGATATTTCCAAGGACCAACTACACCAAAAGTCCAATAAGACCCACAATCACATTCAAGATGCTCTATTCATACATCTAGTGCTCAACGTTTAAGATTTAGGGCCAAATATCATAAAACAGAAAAACCTAAGTTTAGGAGTGTTCTGATACTCTCTGAAAGTTAATGGGAGTTTTGTGATAAATCCCTATACTTAAAAGAAGGGTTTTCACAATATTTTAAAAGTTTTATGGTATTTTCTGATAATCGTTCAAAAATAAGAGGAGTTTTAAAAGTTTATCATATTTACCATGAACTAATAAATATAAACTGACCTACTAACTAGACTACAAACTCAAACTACATTTTTATGTAAAAAATACCCAAAAGTATAGCCGTATAGGGTCCGTCCTCATGAAACTCTATCAAAATCCATGAGCCTTCAAAAAGAAAAATGATAGGGGCACACCCCCAACCACACCTCCAACCACATTCTCCTCTTATTTGCTACAGTACACCGGGCCTCACATGGAATTTTAAAATTTTAAAATTCCATGTGGGGCCCGGTGTACTGTAACAAATAAGAAAGAAAGTGTGGTTAGAAGTATGCCCCTAGTGCCACCCTTTCTTTAATTGTTATCAGACTACTTAAACTACATTTGTACAAAAAGATACATATATTTTGTATTAATGTGGTTGCCCTAGAACTGAGATAAATACTTTGTTGTGTTACAATGTCAATGGAAATAATTAATATAATTACCAATTATCAATGAGAAGATAACAAAGTCTAATCCAGACTAGAATAGTTCATTAATTAGAAGCAAAGTAAAGCCATGCACATAAACCAGCATTTTCGGTTGAAAACATTAGTTGACCTACCTCCATTAAAACCCCCACCCCTACCGCCATGGCAACCTCCTAATAAATATCCCCCCTTTGACTTCCGTAGAAACCATGACCCGGTGGCATTTCCGTAAATAACACTCAAAGAATCCCTCCCCACCACGCCACTATCCAACAAGACCTGACACTAGTCAACCAAGACAATCCAAAAGCTGGGACCCACCACCCACTCAATTTTAAAGCTGATCTGTTGACCAGCAGAAAATACACAAAGCGGATCTCAACCCGAAATTAATTCCAGCGTTTAGGAGCCAGCAATTCACAAAACGACAAAACTTCTCATTTACTAACCAGTTCTCGGTCAAATTAACTATGTTTCCACCCCCTAGCAACCTTTACTTTTTACATAACAAATTGAAAAAAAAGTCCATTGCAGGCTTTAAGATTAGTGCCGGTGATCGCCCTCGTAGGTGACGATGAGCATCGACGGCTCGTCGACGGCTCGCTCCACGTGCTTTCGAGCTGGGCATCCTCTCACGCTACTACACTTATAATAACCCCTGGAAAAAATAATAATTTAAATAAGTAATTAGCAAAAAAAACCTAACAGCCGTTGGATCTAGATCTGAGGGCTGAGGATTCTTACCGAGGGAAAGGCGATCCCTTGATCGGCTTCTGGCCGTACTTCCTCCATGAGCACTCGTCGGTGGGAATATCGGCGATCTTCGAGCTTATCGCCGGCACTCGTATCGTTCTCCTCACACGAGATTTTCTGCAAAAAAAAGTAGCGTACGTTAGCATAGCTCTGGGGAGTGTGCTAAAGTGCGCCGGAGAAGGGGATTTTTATGTAGTACCTTTTCATTGAGCAATGGCAACTACCGGCGATCAAGCTGCCGTGGCTACGGCACTTCTTCTTG